TACATCAAAGACTTTTCTCATGGGCTACGTCACCAAACGGACTCGGCTCTGGTGGTCTTTGTCAGTATGCTTCAGTTCTGAGCTCTGACCGATGGGGAGAGGAAGGAAAGCACTGCAGCGAGCAATCCCTATTCCAAGAGTCACACCCAGTGTTGAACAAATAATGGCTTAGATCAGATGAGCCGTATTTTTATCAGAAGCCCATACGTTAAAAAAAAAATACGTAGGATATTACAGTTCAGATCCAAGAGGAGGCCGTATACAAATCAAAGCATTTATTAAACCTTCCTAACAATCATAATCAAGTATGATCAGATCCTGCAGTAAATATTACTTCTGATATTGATGATCTGCACTTGGCAGCCCATTTTATCTAAAGGAAATCAAAACACAACTGTCAGGAAATCAATGAGCATTGAGAAAAATAGATGCTCAATGAATAAAACACATTAAGAAAGAAAACTAATGAAGCTGGTAGCCTGATGATTGTTTGTCTCTATATAACTACCCAAAGCTGTTCAGAAAAGCAAGTTTTAAATACTCTCCAAATGTTTGAAAACAACAAAAATGTAAGTTTCTACTTAGAACTATACGAATCAGGATATCAATTTAAATGTCAGGATCCATCAGTTCTTGACTTGATGGGAAGAGTCTTAAATGAATGTAGGCATGTGATATCTGCCGCATTATAAATACTCTAATTAAAAATAAAAGAACATGAGAAAGTGAGTGATATAGCAGGCAAGTCAGGAAAGAAGGAAGCATGTCTGAGTGACTGGAAACCTCCCTGGCATACAGCAGTACATCAAGGAGCAAAACTAAACATTAAGCATTGCCAGCAAGTTTGTGAAGCCTTGCAAATTACCAGGCACTTTAAACAGCTTTGCAGAGATACGAATTTTAGGCATAATCTAGAGAGACTGCTCCAGAAAGATCAGCTGATTTATATGACTGAGAACTGCAACGAACGTGTTCTTTTGTGAACTAATATTGCGTGCCTCTGCTTTTGAAGGTTTCAGTGCTACAGGTCCTTGTAAACCCGGCATTTTGCCATTGCGAACTTACCTCAAACTTTAAACTGAAAATAGCATATAAAAGCAGCGTGCATTTTTATTTTTTAAGGCCACATTACTCACAGCCTAAAGATCAAAGCTAATGAACCAGTTCTATGGGCAGTTTAACTATTATTCCAATTCTTGGCTAAAATGTATTAATTTGAACAAAACCAAAAAACGTACTTGAACAAAAAAAAAAAAGCCACCAACCCAAAAAACGTACTTGAACAAAAAAAAAAACACAACACACCAACAAAAAAAAGGCCAAGAATCAAAATTAAGTTATTTGATTCATTTGGACGTTAATGAATTGCTACAATTTACCTTTTAATCGGGCGTCCCCTCCAAAGGCACCACATCCCCAGTTTCCTGTGGCTATTGCAGAGAGATGTTGAGGTGGAACATTGGGTCGAGAGAAGCCACAGTAGGCCTGCAGGCAGACAAGAGTCAGAAGATGAAGTCGACAGGCAATCTGGTGCGGTATTTCCAAACAATAAGATGATAACAATAGTCGGTATTGTCTGCTAGCAATACCAAATTCAAACTACTTCAATACAACATTAGTCTTCCTTTAAATTTAGGGTCAATCACTAAAGAATTTAAGGCAAGAAGAATTTTGCCTTATTTGGATCCAAGTTAAAAATCAGATACAGGTGCTGACTCCTAGGGATTTCATCACGGCTATAGGAAACTTTTCAGGATAGCCAGAGCAGAGAATAACTTTAACAGTGGATTGTATCATGTTCATTGCCTTTCGGCCCATTTAGCATACATGACAGCTGAACTGCTGTGTCCAACTGAAATTCCTCAAAACTGAAAATAAAATACAAAGTGGCATCTTAGAATACAGGTCTAATGCAATAAATGAGAGTAGGAGGAAAAAGTGTGATATTCACTAAGAAATCTTGAGTAAAGGCAGGTGCTTCCATGTACAGACAAAAGGCTAAATCTCTTCGGGAAGTTTTTCAACAGTACAAAACTTTACTGAATTGGTACAATTGTCTGGTACAGATTGAAGTACTCACGGTTTCACTCCAATCTGATCTAAGCTGCAAATTCAGACTTCTGTTAGTTATAATTTAGCAGGGTACCACGATTCAGAGTTTGCATAAGGAGCTCTTCCACATCATCAGGTGCATGCAGCTTCTTGAGCTCTTTCAAGTCAGAGCTATCTATTAGTGTGCTTAATGTCCAAAGCACGTTTCTACGAAACTAGTGGGGCAAGCAAGCTAGCACTCCGGCTGTGTGGACAATCATTCTTCAAACTCCATCCTCCCAGTGAGGGAAATGGATTGGTGTTGCAACAGGATGCCATTTTCTTTTCAGCTTTTACTTAATGGACATGTATTTCTCAACTCGCCAGGACATGGAGAAAAAAAAAAACTGTCTCGTCAGACACAATAAGAAAGTCAGCAAATACTTGGAAGGACTTCAGCAGCAATGAAGAAAAATATCTAAGTAAGTGCTCCCCTATGATTTTTCATAGCAAATAAAGGATAAAGATAAAACTAATCACTTTTTTTAAAAAGAGACAATGTACCAATATCTTAAATAGACTTCACCTAGGAATACAGAAATATGAAAGCTTTCTGTGAAGTTTTAAAGCAGTTGCTTCCATATGGGAGCAGAAAAGCTGTTCCTTTTGAACTACATAAACAAATCTGGTTTTAAGTTGTACACAACTTGAAATATGTGGTACCTCATTATTTAGGAGTTGTGTGATGTTTACAATTGGTTTGTTTTCATATAAAACTGTTATATATAGTTCTCACAGTTCACACGGTTTGAAATGTAACTGTTCTGCATACCATAATTCTTAGGGAAGCATTTCTTGCCAAATATGAAGCTGTAGCTTTTTTTTTTTTTAATTGGTGACTATGAAAATAGGCTTAATGACATTTATGAGTGGGATTGCAAGCCCAATTATAAGTCAGTTGCTCCTTAGCAAATCTTTATGCTGAAATCAGATACAATGATTTTTTTTTCTTTTTCTGAACAGCTGACTTTAGACAATATTAATCTTGTTTTCTGAGTATGGGTTAAACCAGAAACAAGTGTCAGCCTCAGACAGCTACCTTTTGAGAAAACTAACCGAGAGCTAACATCTGGTTCACAAATATATCTTATAAAGGAGAAATCATATAGGCTTATAAGAAAATACAAGTTGTAAGAAGAATCACTTTGTTTCAATCATTTCCTAACGTCTAACAAAATAACAGACAAACAAAAGAACCTCTGGACGCTGAGCTGTGTCTACTAATACATAATAGACTCGTATTTCAAAGCCTGTGTGCATATACTGTGCTTACTGAGTCCTGATTTATTAAATTAATAGAAATATAGAGTTGGAGCTTATTCCATCAACTTGTTTTCACCCCCAGAAAAATCTTAAGGTTAATGTTAATTTTAAATCAAACTGAAAAAATCCACCACAGTACATTCAAAAATATTTGATTTGTTAAAATATTATAGAACCTCCAATAAACTTAATGAAATTTTTACTATAGTAAACAGAGAATTAACTCAGGCTTAAAATTTTCTTTAAATACCAATCAGTCCTCAAACAACATCAGCCAAACTGACACACTGTGTAAAAGTTGCATGGATCTACCATAATTTATTTTAAAAATCCAAACCCAATCAGTCAGATCATAAATTCCCTAGAGTAGGTAATTTGAATTTTGTATTAAGATATCACTGAAGTTTACAAAATTCATTTACTGTCTTTTTCAGGGCTAATTTCATTACCAACCGTGAAGAAACAAGCTGATGAATGTTACTTCAGTCAAGATGCTAAGGTTTTATGACTAAATTAAATTAGCCCTTCAGCACTGTACATGATTTCAAGGAGGAGAGGAAAAGGAAAAAAAAAAGAAAAAAAAAAAAAAAGATGAGCTTTCAGGTATAGTCCCTTTCCAGCTAGGAATTAGGAACACGCTGCCCTATGTTTGAATTTATTTAAAATGCATCCTATATTATTCTATACCCTCCTATACTACAGAAAGCAGGAGACTTTAACAACAGTAGTATTGTGCCCTTATCGTTAACACCCGAGCTAAAGCAGAGGCCCGCTGCATCTACAAACATAGAAGCACACTAAGCAGACTTAATCCTTAGCATGTTTTGAACCCAAATACAAGCACATATATACTAATGTTATAGTATGCAGTTATATTATACTAATACAGTATAACTGCATAAGCATTCTTGTACTCAACTGTCCAGTAAAAATAGCATTGCCATTGCTATAACAGGCCACAGACTTCTTACTACCTATGCCTTATTCTAGCCATGCAAGGCCCTCATTCTGGCCCATTAGCCTTCTCATTAACTTAGGAGAATTTGCTATGTGAACTGGAGATTGATACCAGGCATCTCTTGTTAGGAGATAAAATTCATGCATGGGATAACAGCAAAGGCCTTGAAAACGTTGGCACAGGTTGAAAGCTAAGGCCTCAGAGCTATAAACAGCTCACTGATGGCAATTACTAGTCATTGAAAAAGTACAACCTCAAGAGCTGGGAAAAGACTGTGTTAGCTTCAAGAAAAGAAGCAGCAGCAAAGCAAGAAGAAAAACAAACAACATGAAAATCTCAGCCATGCAACATGATAAAGCACCTGCCATGGGTTGGGAAAATAACCCCATGTTCCCAAACGGTATGCAGCACATAGTCCAGGGCGGAGACCAAGGGCTGGGAACCATCTAGAAACTCAGTATCTTATTTAAGAACAAGATCCCAAATTAGGGAGGGCAGGGGAGAGAAAAAGAGATGCCCACCGCAGTTCCAGCTGCTCTTCAGCCTGGCAACTTTGATGACTACGACTGCCAAGGACCACAGCCATTGGAGCAGTGCAGTTTTGTATACACACAGCTAACGCAGGGCAAGGTCAAGGACTGACTGCTTTGAATACATAGTGATAATGATTAATAATGTGTAAGAATTATTACTAGGAAGTGTGCTGTTTCTGAATGTCAGTCTAAAAGTGTTTGTTTAAAGGATTAAAACTGGCCTGATTTATCCGTCTTCTGAACATCCCCATCACTGTAAGCTCTACCTGGCATGTATATACACATATTCAGTTGCAACAGCCCTTACAGCTATTGTGCAAATAAAAATAGGAGATTTATGAACAGCTGGATCTGATCTCAAGAAGACATCGATATTTGAAAAGATAAACTCCCAGGTAATATGGCAATACCCCAACAGCAAACAAGAAAGGCGGAAGAAAAGCAAGTGGCACCGTATTTATGAACTGTCACCATGTTAAAACATGAGGCACCCCCTTCTCCACCTTGACTGCAGGGCTAAGTAGGATTCAGCAGAGCCAATCATGGGAAGAGAACTTAAAATCATAATTTAGAAGCAGGACAGGGAAGAGTTAACAAAATGTATATCCAAATTTCATTTGTATTTTTGAAAGTTAAATAAAATACACCTTTGAATAGCGTATCAAAGGATAAGAGTCATTCTATTTGACAAGCTTCTGCTTTAACATTGGACAGTAAAACCCCGAAGTACACCTTTTATAAGAGACACAACTAAGCAGGAACTTCCTTAGCTGAAAATAATAATACAAAAACATTTGAAAAGCTACTATAAACATTAGACTGCAGGCCGTTGTAAGAAGTTACTGGCCTTGTTGAGCTCTCTCCTAATTTTCTCCGGACCAAACTGATCAAGGAAACGTCTGAAGTGAAATGCATCTATAGCAACAATTTCAGTGTAGCGTCGCTGCCATTCATCCCTAAAATTGGAGGGAGGAGAAAAGTAGATGACGTTAGTTGTTTAATATAGGCCATATAATCATGATCCAAAATGAGCAATTCCCTGCAGAGTTTCTCTGTTAGAAGCAGCTAGAAAGGTGAGCTCATAACAGACAATGGAGCGCTTTTTTTTTCTTTGTGGGCCGGGAATGAAAGCAGCATCAGAAATGAGACAGGTCTCCCTATAAAATTTAGAAATACTCTGGCTAGACTTTGGGCATAAATGTGAAACAAATCTAATTACGCAGCAATATTTATTAAGTACATAAGAACGCCACAAGGTCAAAGAAAAGCACTTTGGCTCTCTGTCTTCCTCCACATTTAAATGAGAGTACATTGTGTATGTTTCTATACCAAATGAATAATTCTGCATATACACTATAACAACATCGTTGGAGAAATAAATTCAAGAGCTCAGAGCTTTCTGCTCGGATTCATGATATTAAATCTTATTTTGCCCACATCAGCTGCACTGTGGCACCTGAGGCATCATTGTCAAACTTCTTGTGACGTTACAGTCCACAGTTCAGTCAGTATCTTAACAAAAATTTGGATTAAATACATATAACTGTAAAAGACGCTGATTTAAGAACTGACATATTGGCAGATACCATTTATTAGCATTAATATCTCATTATTAATATGGGATAACTTTCTTAGCTCTTTGGCTCTACTGAAGAGAGCAGGATCAAACAGTCAAACTCTCTATTAAGGCAAACTCTAGGAAATACTTAAAGCACCACGTTTTCAAATTTATAACATTTATTTATTCCTTCACTTGAAATATTTATGTGGAACTTTACCTTGGGGTCTTATCTTCATGGCTTCTTGCCCACCGGTAAGTTTCTGCATAGCCTGTATACTCACTGTACTGCTCAGTACCTGAAACAAATGATTTTCCATATTACATACAAAATATGTACGTATTTTTTCACTTGGAAGATCTTTCACAGGAATCACTGCTTCTCTGAATGAACACGCAGCTCTCAGAAGCAATGCAAAATAGAGATTCATATCTGCACCAAGAATACAAGATCTTGTAACCACTAGAAGCTTCTTTTCCACAGATGATGTGTAGCATCTACCACAGAACTTTACAAGTGCAGATCTATGTATGCTGTCCAGTATATAACAAGAAGATAGTTTTCAGCTTTGCCACTCTCAAGTTCAATAGCTTCTCAATGAACTCCCGGTCATCTTTAAAGTTTTACTGGCTAATATCTGGTTAACAAAGACCGTGAGCCTTTGCGCCACCAGCATTTTGCTTTTCTTTTTTCTTTTTTGAGGCTACTACCTGTAAACACGATGATAAAACAGTCACTCCCCTATTGAAAACATGGCAACCCTACTTCATCACAATTTAGCAAACGTCTGGGCTGACAGTTCAGGAAACATGAGAAGAAAAATATAAAGAGATTCAAGAGTGTATGTGGCGAGCTATATGTTTATACATTTTATTTCCCTAACAAGTTTTGTTTCTCTAACAAAATTAAAATCCATAAACCCAAAGAAAACCCTGATGGTCAGAAACCAAGCAGAGTTCCAACATGACAGTGTTACCCAGTTTGTTGCCCTACAGTCTCTTGAGGGCAACCTTACATGAGTATAGGTAGGACTGTTAGGCTTCCTAGTCTCATTGCCCAATACATCTCCTTCCCTTGTTATTGTTTTGTTTTACATTTGTTCAGCATGATTTCTGCACATGATTTCTTTTGGAAGTGAAACTGTTGTACCTGACACGAATTCTCAGATATCACAGCAATTAACGGCACTGAACGGTCCGAAAGGCCACTGCTCTCAGCCGTGGCAGTCAGTACAAAGAAGCTACTTCTGTAAAAGCTTGAGGACCCACAAAACCATGGTCTGGAACATACTTGGCTGCTCTGTGAAGTCCAGCAGGGTATCTTGGCAAGCATTAAGGGCGGTACGACAGTAGCTCATTAAGACCTCCAGTAATTTTAGCTATTATGCTCTGCTACGCCAACTTCTTTTCAAAGGTTTATCCCAAGACCAAGGAGGAGAGCATTTTAACGGAGAGTAAGGATCATAACCTTTCTAAAAGGCTGCCTTTCACCTCATTTTACCGAACTTCAGGACCTTGCTTCAAAACCTGGGGATGCACAAATGCTTCAAAGAAATACTCCTAAGTAAGGCCACAGCAAAATCAAAACTTTTCCGCCTGTTTTGAGCTTGCAACAGCTGAATTTCAAAAGTAGGGGACTGAAAAGAATACCTTGTTTGGAAAATTTCAGCTCATACAGGTACAGTTTGGCACAAGTTATAAACAATAAGAGTAAGAAGAGAACTGTTAAGCAACCCCTTAATTACAAACAGTGACACCAGCTATGCCTACAAATGTAACAGGAAAATAGGTTTTAGAAAGACGTGTAAGCCAACAGCACAAAACATCTGATTACTGAGACAAGTAATGCCTAACTATTGCACAGATCAGTGATACTCTGAGAATACAAATGTTAAAATTTAATCTCAAAGTTTTTCAAACTCTAAATAAAAATAAAATAAAAGCTGAACAATCAGAAAAATAAAACTATTCACTTTTAACCTCATCTGACAAGGGAATTTGAATGCTTGCTTTCCGTAGTCTCAAGCACAGGAAACACAAGCTGTTAAAAACTGTTTAAAACGATGCATATACTTCAAGACATTTTCCCCATTTACCCAAATTCATTTTAACTGAAAAGACTTATCAGCACTTCTTTAACTCCTCTGCCCTATTATCCACTCATTATTTATTTAGATTTGTCTAGATGATTAACCATACTGAGGGCACACAAATTCCACTCAAGGCTATTTTGCAAAGTTGCTATGCAAAAATGAGTGCGATGGTAAAAGATTCCTCACCAAGAGTTCACTTTCTGTTACAAAATCAAAGTCCCAAAAATTGTGATGGCAGAATAAGCCTATATATTCACACACATCCATGCCTTCGTACAAAGGACAACTGTGAGCAGCTGAAATATTCAGAAGTCAGCCTTCTAATCGAATTGTAGGCTATCAACCTTCAGTAAGATTTTCCTGACATCGGTAAAATTCAGTTTTACTGATAATCTGGAAAAACTGTCTGAGCAAATAGTAAGAAGAGACAGACAAGGGAAGTATGTGACTTTGAGAGCTCTCTTTAGGGGACAACCTAGCAAAACTTCCAACTTTGAAAAGGAAGCATTTTCTTTGGTGTCTAGCATGCGGAAAGAAAAGACTAGGTTATCAAGATATTGTAACAGGATAGATTAAATGACAGTCAAAGTATTAAACTGACTTTTTCAAGGTTCATTGTTTTCATTAATTTTTATGGAAGTGCAGTGTCTGATGACAAAAGCACCAGGAAACAAACAAACAAGCAAACACACACACACATATATCTATTTAAAAAAAAAAAATCAATAACAGAGTAACTCAAAGAAATCACACGAACTCTAAACTCATGTCCCAGAAACCCAAAGTTAATGAAAATCAATGGGTTTTCATAAGTGAAGCTCTGGAAATTTGTCAGACAAAAAAGGTTATTCAACTGGCAGCACTTTTGCCTGTGAACTGCTGGGATACAAACTGCTGCTTCTGGGAGAACAGAAGCAGTACGGGATAAATTGGATATGCTAATGTTCCTGGTGAATCTTTTTTTCTTCTCATAAGAAAAATAAAGGGGTAAAAAAGCCAAGCCACAAATGCAACATAATAGCATAGTTCCATCAGAACTTTAAAAACAAGCTACAAAAACTAAAAAAGCCTACCTAAAGTCAAAAGAAAGTATATACAAGTATAATTCAAAAATACATTCTTTGTGAAACTTGTAATAGTTACAGCATCAAACAAACGGTGAAATTGCCAAGTGTTAGTGCTTACGGGACCTCATCCATCTAGAAAGAGTTGCAATTATTACTAAAAATAAATGTACCTTTCTCAGGCTCCATAGTCTAGCTTTTCATTTGCATATGATCTGCATGGCATTATAAAGTTTCCAGGGATTGGGAAAAACCCCACCATACTGTCCCTCTAGTATTTCTTATGAGCTAGAAATTCTACCTCTGAAGCAGCAGTACCACTAGCACTGAATAAAAAGGAGTACATGTGAAAAGCGCAAGAGTATAGTTTTGTAGTCACCAATATAAACGCACATTTACTGCCAAAAGTGAGGGGAAGGTCCTTCTCTCCCTTTCAATCAGTTCTTCTGATCCTTATCTTGCGCCACCATTAGTCTTCTGGCTCTCCAGACAGTGGCACGATCAGCCTGCTAAATCCAGCTGAAAAACAATTTTTCCCCTCTGAGTAAATTTTCAGCTGAACCAATTATCTGATCTCATTTACTGCACGGGTAATGTGCTTAGAAGTCTCTGAAAATGCATCGCTAAGATGCGGTCAGGACTGGCCGTTGTTCAATCTGTTTATTTAAAGCAAACATGGAACACAGCTTCATCTGCTCTTAATGCTGCCCGAGCATACGTGAACTCAAAGAGGGCGGGGGGAACCAAACCAAAAAACCTGAATGAAAAACACTGACACTTACTCACAGCTCTACCAGAAATGCAGCTGTGGGAATCTTTGGCATTGCTGCTGACATTTCTGTAGGTAGATGTCTGTGTTGAAGAACTTGACTGTTTGCATGACCAGTTCCATATCCATTACAGCAGTGATCTTAAGCAGATACTGTGCAATCACAACAAATTTAATTTCTCTCCAATTTCTCAGACTCTTCTGCAAATTTAAGCTACGCAGTTATACCCATTAGGCCGCTGAGTCAAGATGCATCACAAAGAACGTAATTTATCAAGAGGACTGTGACACGCAGTGGAGACTTGGCTAAGAACCGAGGTGGAAGAGCTCCAGGGATGAAATGAAAATGATGGAATGGCCATTTCCATTAGAGAGGAGCACCATATCACAAATACTAATTGCAAAACACTATAAAGTACTCAAGAAAGCTAAAATAATATTACCGCAGTGAAAAAACATCCTCACCTTTTATTTGTTCGTGCCAAGTCACTATTTTTTGCAGGGGAATGGCAGAAGGTCTTTCGAAACATTCATTTAGCTTTGTCCCCCAATCAGTTGTTACACAGACTGATAGCTGCGCTCTGTTTTTACTCTCCCCAGAAGAGCCTCACCCAGAGGATGGTACTTCAATATGTTAATCTTGTTATAGTATTATATCCAAAATACACAACAGAAATCAGTGATGGCCAAGAATTTTCTGACTCGTTTTTTTAAAAGGTAATCACAAAAGCCAATTTATCAAAAGGTTTTCACAGAAAAGGCATTAATTTTGGCAGGGTGGAAAAACAAAATAAAACACTGTCTTAAAAAGATTACCAAGTATAAGACTGAAAACAAAAGATGCTCTGCCCAGTACAATCAATAGCTCACAACAGGGTAAGATTTGCAAGATCTAAGCTCAAATTTCTGCTACCCATGCACGCGAGAGAAAGAAGTGCTTTGGAAGGACTCTTCCAAGAAATGCGTTCTAATACCTGTACAAATTCCTGACTGTTGAGGCAGCTCAGGTAACTAAACCCAACATTTTTACTATAGCAGACTGAAAAATATAAAATATACATAACCTATTGCACTATTTGCCCAGAGGATCTCTCTGATCCGGTATTTTTTCTTTATAGCTATTCTTTAGAGTAGATTAAAAAAAAAGTATTATAGCATCATTTTATTTTTCAGTCATGAAGAATGCTCACTGTGTTCCCGTGTATAGAACTGAGACACACACAGCATGACCTGGGCCTCTCCAGTTCTTAATAGTGACATTTGGTGTTTTGATGCTAACTGTTTTGATGCAATGGATAATAAAACATTCCAAGTTCTATGACAGAGGTGGAAACAAAAGGGAAAACACTTTTAGCAAAGCACTAGACAGACAGCGCATCTCCATACACAGCCCCTCGACAACATACTGGAGAAGCATTTAGGTTTTGATGTTGTGATTACGAACCCATGACTAACTTACAAGTAACAAACACACATGTTCGTAACTTACAAGATCAAAATCCTTAAGAGACATTTCCTGACTTTCTACCCTTTTTAATGGATGCTGCTTTTCTCCTCTTCCACTTCCTCCCCTTTTCGGTAACCAGGAGGCAGTTCCTCTTCTCAGAGTTTTCGATCCCACTGATCACATCAAATGTTACAAATTCCAGACAGGAACAAAAAAACCCTGCTTTAACGTAACAGAAGCATTACCTGCTAATAGTTGGGAGCAGCTAATAGCTGGTAATTGTGGCTTTTGCCTGTATTGCCCAACAGTATTCTTGAGCTAGGCCTAAAGACACCGAGTCCTCAAATACATTTATATAGGATAAAAAAAGTTCTGTCTGCTTGCTGTCACTTTTTGTTTTGTTTTGGTTTTGTTTCCTTCACGAAACATCTATTGGAACAGCAGCCCTATGATCTTAAGAGGTAGGCTGAAGAAGGAAGCTCTTTGTCAAATGAGTATTGACTTATTTTTATCCCTAGAGCATTTAAACATACTAAACTTCAACTTGAAATCTATTTTCTATATATAAAACCAGAACAAGATGTGAAACATTTTCTGCAAAGACTAACCTGTGATGATGAGACATTCATTGTGATCCAAGACTTCAGTGACGAGCCTCGATACAATCAGTTCTGGGTTGATTAAAAACCGAATTTCTTCTTGTACTAGTCCTGCCCCAGTCACACCACCTCCAACAAAGCGGTTTGCAAAATCAACCTAACAAAAATATATTCAGGAGGATTATGAGATGAGCAAACAGCATAAAATCCTTTCATTTACCAAGGTAAAGAGAGTCCTGTACAGATTTCAATAATTCTGTAAAAATCTGCTGCTACCACTTAAAAATACAAGCAGCAGCACAGAGCATGATTAACAGCATGCCTTTCTCTTTTTGTCCTTTCTACTTCTCAGAAAACTTAAAACAAGTGAGATATTACACAGCAAAATAAGTTCTGCATCTCAAATGCTCTGAATCCAAGTTTTGTGGGTTTTCTTTTAAGAGCACATATTTAAGAATAAAACACATTTCAGTAAATGTGAAAGATGAAACCGGCAAAGTACAGTATTCTTTTTGCATTTTATGGACATTGAAGAATTATTAAGTTGTCCTTTAATAAGCGTTCTGCCCCAGCTGTCCGCACTGAAGCATTTTTAGATTAGCATTGCCCCTGTACCAGTTGTTCTGTACCTAAAAGATTCTCTTATGAATTCTCCTTGAAATGCACTTGAACAAGGGAAGTCATTTTGATCATTAAGGTTTCTGCCTGAAACAGAGCAGCTCTGGACTCTATTTTTTCCTGCAATAATACATATTTTGCAAGTTACATTTTTATATAGACAACAGTTAAAGGATTTGGTTTATTCAATAAAGTGATTACTATTTATGCAAATTAACTGCCCATATAAATTTATAATTTTTAAAAGTCACCTCATCTTTCAAATGCTATTAGCTTCTTACTCATTTTTATTTGGATAGCTGATGAGCGCACATTTACAGGAGGGGAACAAAAGTTGCCAGAGTGACATGAACATCTGTGTAGATTACAAACTGATTCAGGAGTCAGAGTCAAGTCTAAAGCACGCAGAGCCAGCCACAACAACAGCAAGCATTCCTGAAGTCTACCCTGGAAATACCAACACGCTTCAGTTGACTATGATACAAAAATCTTCAACAAGTTCAGCAAAAGTAACACGAAAACTACCCAGGTGTTCAGTGTGCCAGGGCCCCAAATGCAGTTTAACTGTGCTGAGTAGCCTCACCTTGGGCCCCCATCCTCGCCCCCGGCACGTGGCCCCCCTACAAACACACACCCTTGTCCTGGACCTCGCCTGAGACACATCGTGTGTGGGCCCATGCCCAGCCCTGTCCTCTGCTGATGCCCACTTGCTGACCAGACATCTAGGATTGACCTTGGTGACCTGACTCATCACCTTGCCTTTGTCTGACGACCACCAGCCTGTCAGCAGAAACTGTTTTTGTCACCATCCCTGCTCCGCTTGTCCCAGCCAGCGACCCTGCCCGCTGAGGCTGGGGTCACTATGGACTCCTGCATTGTCTTGCCTTGGTCATCCCGCTCCCTCCTGGAGCGAGCGCTCTTCATCTGGGCAGAGTTATGTTGTTTGATAAGACTTGAAATATCCAGGAGGAAAAATATCACATCCTAGGCAATACTCACTTTTACAGAGCGCAACAGAAACAGTATGTGGAAAGACATAATTCAACCTTCTCCCACCTCTGAGGTTATAGTATAGTTGAATAGAGAGACAGCAGAAAAATGGTTATTATTGAGCAGTTGCCGAGTTCTTAATAATTTAAATACACATTTGAGTGCTCAAGTTTCATAGAGTCATGAGACATTTTAAAGTTTGAGCAAAAAGCATCGCAGGAAAAAGTCCTATTCTCCCTCCTCCTCCTCCTTTGCAGCACTTGTTCCTGGCTAAAGAAGTTGTAATTTTTTTTGTGTGTGTAAACAAACTCTAAAGGCAGACTTTTTTTTTTCTTTTAAAGACAGACAAAAACCAAACAACTAATTTGAGAACTCAAATGTGTTCCTTCCTATAGATATGGACAGGACATCCTCCTTATGAATTTCTTTTGCTGACTGGCTCCCAGACTGTAACAGTGGTGCTGGCAGCAGCAAGAAAGTCTCCTGAACCACTGACCTGGTCACTGTCTGGGGCACGAGAATAATTTTTTAGAAATAAACTGAAACCCTTGACAACTCATCAAGATCACAGCCTGAAACTTTTATCTTGTCGATCTTTGATCCTGGTTTGAACCAAGACCTGAAGCTGTCCAGGGCTTGTGATTTTCTGTCAGCTCTTTCTGGAGCAGGTACATGTGCAAACCTAGATGAGCTGGGGAATACTGACAGTACTAAGACTGCCCATGGAATTAATTTTTGATGTTTCTTTTACACTGCATAACATCTTGTCATTTAAGTCAATTGAGGAGAAACAAATAACTTCGTTAAGCTGGCAGACCATAAAAAGTATGACAAAAACATGACATAAGGCCACATTTACTGTTATATGCGCTTACCTGTAGCATACCTTGTCCATTGCTTTCGATGGTGCCTTCATAGGTGACATGCAATCTAGACAGTTTTTTCTGAGATCTATCATTGAGGAAAAATATTGTACAGAAAGGATGATTACAGAATCTCCACACAAAGACATCCATTGTAAAAGAAAACCCATCCAACCCCAAACTTCTTGCACACCTTAACATAAGGTGGTTTTAAAAAAGCCCTGATGGATTACAGAAAATGCATTTGCCTTTTAGAAACAATTTGTAAAGGTTTAACATAGTCAATTGTTCAGTTTCTCCACCTCTTTCACCATAAAACCCCAAATTTGAAATTGAAGTCCTACGTTTTTCACACAGGTTTGTCCCACGTTAACTCGCTAACCAGCAAGAAAGCTGCAACACTTGTGTTTTCATGCTGGTTATCACCCATACTTCATTCTATTTCCTGTCATTTCTGAAATAAAGTAATCTCCCTCTTTTTTCCCCACTCAAACAACAGCACCAAAGATGCGCTACTGTTTTAAAAATTCACTTGAGACTTGTTGGCTTCACAGGCAAACATACATACTGGAAAACTCAGGGCACTCAAACTACTTGTGGCAGTTCACCCACTTCCCTCTGTACTTCTCTCCATAACAATCCATACCAACATTGTTTTCTGTAGTACTTCCAGGCGTGAACCAATTCCATATGAATGGGATTCAGTTATCATTGGTAAGAAATTTCTTATGTTAACGGGATGTTTGACTTACCTTTCCCAGTCTGGAAACTCCTGGAGACACTGCCTTGTAAACGTCACCAATCCCGTAGGTTCTACAGGCAAACCAACCCCAGAGGGAAATGTATTAACTGCTGGAGCTTTAGTCCTTAGATTATTTTAAGTGGTAAGCTTTTAAAATTACAACAAACGTCATTCTTGGCATAAACACAAAAGCTCAACTTTTCTCAAGAGCAGCTTTGAATCTTCTCCTGACAGCCCATGCTCAAATTGAAAACAAGTAACATGAAGACCAAAATATTCACTTCTCTTCTCCCTTTGGAGTTTGAGTATTTTTCTTTTTCCAGATCAAGGAAAAACTATTTCTTAAGTGATTTTCACTTAAACTGTAAACACTACTAGAAAGACTCGATACTTGAAGTAAAATGTGCTGCCACTTAGAAAATAAGAAATGGTGTTCAGTGTCAACAGGCAATGCACAACCTATGGATGGATGAAGCAGCAGCTCCTATTTCCAAGGAAGTCCTGCTATGTCAGTAAAGACGCAGTGTTAGTGGATTCCAGATCAAGCCGTTTTCAGCCCTACCAGGATGCCTGTGAAATGCACGGTATTTCGAATGAGAAAAGACTCCTGCCCTCAAGAGAAAAAGAGGAGCCATTGCTCATTGCAGGAAGGATGCATTATCATCTTCTCTCCATCTTTTACTCAAAAAAGTTCAGTTTTGCAACAGCAAGAAAATATCAGCCTTTTATTGGGTGATGTCATCCTAATAAAAACTTCATTTGAGAGTCATTTCTTTGCTCCAGTAAGTCTACTGCGCTGGCTTGTGAAAAACATTCAAAACAGTATGTAAAGCACAAACATATCCTTCCAAAAGCCTTAAATAATCTTATGCTTTTCTTCAAAATTATAGGGGTTTAGGGGAAAAAAAGGGTTGCTTGCTCTTAAAAAATTAAGCATTCACCTTTTGAGCACAAAGTCTTCAGCTGATATAGTCTCCACTGTGTTCTTTTACAAGGAATTCAATTACCATTTACAATAAAAAGAGTTGCAAGATTATTACAGTAATTTATAGAGCTAAGTTACTTCAGTCTTACTAATTCCTTGGACAAAAAAGAACAAGAAATGGGGTCCTTTAAAGGTACGATAGGAATTTTTAATTCAAGAACGGAACACTCGAGAATCTCATTAAATCTTATTTAAAGTTATAATGTTAAGAAATCTAATATGGTAGTTTCATAAAGAATGTTCCCAACAGATTTCATATGCACATGGGATCAGGGACAGCTGCGTAAGTTTAGGATTTGGTTTGCATGAAAACATTATTCCTCGAGTATAAAAAAAAAAGCTAGTATGCTATATCTCTTCCCAGTCCCACACCTAGATCACAATTTACTTTTTACCTCGGAGATTTAGTTCTATTGACATTGCTGAAAGTTTGATAGCTGAAACAGCATGTAGCTGCATTTAATTTGTGGTAAATTAAAATGATGAACTGAAGATGGACTGAACCAAGTAAAGAAATTTTTATATTTAATAGCTTAAAGCTGTGTGTATTTTAAAACAGACCCTTCTGAGAGAATATGAAGCTAATAGTGAAATACCGACATGTAAAAAGTTCTTTAAAAAAATACTATAATAAGGATATTGCTGCAGATGTGATGTATGCTACTGCAGTAAAATATCTTTCTCCCCCAAAATACAATATATAAGCTCTGATACAGTTCTCACAAAAATAAATCTATTTTTGAAAGCTTATGCAGATGTTCAAATTCATGGTAACAACAGAATACCCAACTACGCACGCTAAGGAAAATATCGCACTAACTTCTAAAAGAGTTGGGGATATCTCATGTCTTGCTATCACTTGTTTTATTTGAACTGGGCAAACTTCACAACAGCTTTGCTGTGGGACAACAGAAGGGAAAAACCTGAAGTATCAACACAAGCAGGGGAAAATCCCTCAGAGCTAAACACGTTATAGTCAAAGGACGGAATGTGCATACTGCAGGAAATCTGAAGCTTGATTCAGAATCTTTAAGCCTGTGATTTTAATGACTACATATGGTGCTAAGTTCCCTCTACATTCTCACTCTGATGCAGTGCAGCAAATAGTTGCATATATTACAAACATTATACATATGTATATTTATATAGACACATTTATATACACACACTTTATATATATATAAAAAGAGGGAGGTGAAAATATATCTCTCCATATTTTACACATCCCCCCATATATGTATCTCTGAAAAAAGAAAACAGAATAAGCACCGTGCAAAAAATTTAATTGCATGCATCATCTGTATGAGAAGTGACATGAATATGAATATCAGTGTACTTAGCAAGCTGGCTTTTGTTACACACTTCCATCATAATGCTGCATAACCATTTCTAAATTTAATGAGATTAAATTTTTCATGTATCTGCTTTGTAGCTCAAAAAAAGAATAAAGGATATACTTTTTTCTGTGACTCTCCTAAAATAGCAGAAAAGGGTCTTAAGTTTCTCAGGCTTCCTTGGTGACCGTCCTTCAAACAATCTAAAAAACAGGAATTAAAAGCAATTAATTAGATTTCAGGGATATAGTGCATAGTAATTAGGCTACTTACTAATTGTGATTTTATTTTTTAAACTATTGTACACGTTTTGATTAGCCTTGCATTTAAATACTCTACTGTAGAAAGAACTCTCCAAACAGCCCCTCTGTAACACGGGTCTTTAGGAGTAACAAGTTTGTTCACTTGCTAAGTTTCTGATGAAGATGCTAAGTGAATACCTATCTTGCTCATACTGATTTTGTAATATCAAAAAAATATAATTTCAATAGGAACATCCAGGAAAGCTACTAGATTTATTTGCAACAGCCTGGCTTGGATTAAAATAAGTGACTGAGGGGTGAAAACACGTATGTTGAGTACTCCAAGATCCAAGTGTCTTACCCTACTTTCAGCTCAGTGAGTTGCAGAGAAGAATTAATGCAACCATATTGCTTTGAAGAGCTGCACTGCACCAGCAGCGTTTCTAAAGAAAAGAACCTACCCCCAACAAAAACGGCTTCATCCACTGGGCTACTACTGGCATTCTAACATTCATTTGTAAAAACCTAAGCATTAAAAAGAAGCATCCTATTTTTAGCTGTTAAGTGAATGTATTCTTTTAAGGTTAGCTGAAATACTTCTACTGCATCATCTATCTTCCAGCAGCTTGAACACGCATTACTTAATTTCACTTCCAACAAAGTGACAAGGCATTGTTATTGGCAACACATTAATGGAATATATCTGGAAGGAAGAATAGCGGCAACTTCAGAAATAATATCCTTTGAGTAGGAAGTTCACTAAAAGATGTCTGACACAGTGAAAGCCCTGAGGATGTAAGATTCCCCCCCAATAAACAGTCTAAGTAAAGGAATGACACAACATTACTCATTTGTTTCCATGTACTGGAATGACAACCTGCCTTTAAAACCAGAATGCTGTCAGGTTAATTTAGCTTTTAGGAGTGAAGCGAACTAGATTTTTTCAGTATTTAAAAATTCTTATGAAGTATACATGCTGAAGAGATCAATTTCATCCAAAATCTATATTAAGTCACAGAAGCTAATTTTAAAAAGGTTAAAAAGGTTTTATGAAAACTTTTTTATTTTGAATAATCAATCAGGACTTTAAGGTGGCAAACTCCAGACTTATACAGTCTATTTTAAAATGGGCCAATATGCAAGTTCTATCAAGGGGTTGTGCTTGCACAACTAATAAGGGGTTCATAAAAGAAAGAGTTGGGGAGGGGGGTAGGTTTTGCCTAAATGCATAAACTATCTCTGACCTTTTATCTGGAAGTCTCATCTGGTATGAATCCTTTCAACTGGTTAATTTATCTATTAGCCCAATCATGCCTTTACTAGTTTTTTGCCTCTCTACGTCAAATTGAAATCTTGCTTATGTTGCACATGCTCAGGAGAGAGCTGTTCATGTCACAAAGGCGACACATGATTCAGCATAACTAGCAGGCTGGGCAGCAGAAGTCCAGAACTGGAAAAAACTATGCCTGAAATAAGTCAGATCAAGCTAAAAGGCAATGGTAAGGCAGATGAACTTGATTTCATCCATTACAATTACTCACCAAAATGCCGTCACTCTGTCAAGTAGGGAATTTCAACCAAGTATTTTTTTTAAATCTGAAGTGTTCAGCATTGGCCTGTCTTTTCTCTTGTTAAAAGCTGTGATAACTACCTCTCTTCTTCCTCCTCTGGTGTCAAAGCTAGAGTAATGCTGATTTGCTTCTGAAAAAAATCTCATTTACAGCAGATAAAGATTCCCAAAACACCATCTATAATTACAATGATGAGAAGAGATATCTGTATTTCTGTTCTAGCCCTATATGGCTGGGTAAAAACCACAGGGCAGCACAAAAGAATTTGAAAAGCTCTGGGTTCTGGCACAGACATCCCTTGCTGTAGAGGGATACTCCATACAGTGGGGAGAGAAGAATTCCGTGGCGTTCAAAACTATCTGTATTCTGACCTAGTAGCTATATGCATCCAGTAACTACATGCATCAGACCTTTTATAGCAGTTAGCCCAAGAGCTCTCGTCACCCTCCTCCTCACAGTATTTGCTTTTCTTCACTATGACATGATATAAATCGTACTTTCTCTTGAAAATCCACTGTTAAATACAGAAAAATAATATTTTTTAAAAATTATTTATTAAAACCAAAAGCACTGCACATGTGTTTTAGGACCGAATCCACCACAAATGATGTTTGTCCAAAACAGAAGGCACTCATAAAAGGATAGCCATCTATGGCAGGTTGAAGACACCATGTCTTAGATTAATATGCTTGAATTTACTTCATACTTTCTGTGTCTAGAATTTACCTTTATTAGTGAGCTAGTGGCAAACTGAAGATAGCTATCCGCAAACATGCTTTTTATTATATGTATGTTTGCAAAATACAGAACACTAGTATGTTACTTGCATATTTTCATATAACCAGACCAAGGAACTCTTGTCTTCAGCTCTTTCAAGTAAAAGTGCTTTACAACATTAGGAATTTGTTTTAAAGGCCAGTCAGACCAGTGGAAAAACCCCCACAGATTTTAATGGGCTACAAATTAGCCTTAAACCCTCATAGTATCTAATTATTTAAAGTTACTGATATTCATTCAGTTGATTTTGACTGCTTCGTGTGTTCTTTTAAATATCCACAGAAATCGTATCACAATGACATCAATGATTCAGCAGACTTCCAGCAAGCTATACTAAAGTCAGAAGGAGAAAGAAAAGCACAAGAGAAAACCCAAGCCCTCCCCCCAACACACCCAGGCAGCCAAGCTTTCTCAAGCGCAGCACAAAGTACCCAGTCATCTCTGTGAATGCCACAGTAAAAGCAAGCGATATTTACAACAATCGAAAATGGCCCAGTCCTGCCCATTTATTTAAGTGAGGGTACAACATGGCAAAGCTGTGAGCATTTTAACCTTAAATCTTACTTCTGAAGTGATCAATTAGGCAACATTATGAGAAGTTTTATTTCTAAAGCAAATGTCTCTATTTTGAAGAACAAAGCTAGATGAGGGCATCAACAAGATATTAAATAAAATTCTTCTTTGAGCTCCGAGACACAGATCCTTCTAAAAAAACCCCCACAAATGTGAGTGGAAACCACATAATCAATTTCCTGACAGAAGAACCCAAGGCCAAAGCCCATTAATTCCAATTAAAGAACCCATCCAAATGAAGTGCACTGTAAATCAAATGCAAAGCACTGCAAGCCCGCTTTCAGTCGAAGTAATTGAAATATTACTGGCAACTGCATATGTAAGCTGTTTTGGTTTGTACAAGATGTTCCCACTGCCGTGCAGCTAACTTCAATTTAGCAGATACAGGAGCAAAGAAAGCTTGCAGGGCTGATCACCAAAACACAGCTGCAAATTTATCTCTGGCTCTCCGGCTTCCAAGCCGGGGTAGCGGCAATGTTAATCAAATAAAAGACCTCTACAGAGATACACTTAAGTATTCGAGGAATCAAGGTCAGAGATTTAAAAACATAAGAAAGTAGATGTGTGAACAGTGTCATAAACACAAAGTAGATTGTTAAAGTCATTATGGCTAAATGAAAACTCTTTCCTAGCAAATACTTAGACACTTAATTCAATTTTCTGAAGAGAAATCCTATATATGAGAAATAAAATATTAAAAATAAGAAGGACTGATATTGGGAAAATGTAAAAATAATTTTTAAAATTACTCAACAACTGTCAGTAAACATACAGTGCAGTTACAAGGCATTAGTTTATACTATTTCAATAATTATTACATAACAGTGTGCATTTGTTTTGGATTTGCATTTTCCTCAAATTTTAGGGTGGAAAAAAAGCATTTCAAAAGTGTAATCAATATTCTGGTTTTTGCAGTCTCGTTGACTGCAAACTCAAAATTGTCTTATTTTCAACCAACATTTCCACCTTCGAAAGCTGGAGCCAAAAGCTCTAAAGAACCTGCTCCCAAGTCCTTTGAGCGCTGAGGCAAGCAGCAAATCTGCAAGCTGCTTCAAAGGGTGCATTTCCAACAACGCAACATCAACACGATTTAAAAACATTAAGAGCTACACAAAAGTAACCTTTGCATGCATATAGTTTACTGGGGAAAAGGTGAACCAGCTTAAGTGAACAGTTCCGAAATACATTGTTTCTGATTAAGGTATAATTAAAATACAGTAGTTTACTTGTAAAATCTAATTTCCAAGGAGCTAAATTGATCCCTTGATGTTACTCAAAGAACTGGCTACAGTAATTTTCACAAGCAGAAGGAACCATTACAATCATGTGGTTTAACCTCCCAGTTAAATAATTTCTTATCGGTATTTCCATCCCCAGCCTGTATCTTCCCGTCCCCAGGCTGGGCTTCCTTTGAATGTTTCTTTTCGAAGAGTATAATCATGTCTTTACATTGAAATCGGAACCTATCGTAAGACTCAGAAAGCTGTCCATGCTGTAACAATATGCAAACATTTGCAATATGGATCATACTTCAAAGAATACTTCCCATTTATAAATCCACGGCATTTCGTGTGTGCTGTTTGCAAAGGTCTGGATACACAATTTTATACTTATGGTCCCCACAACTAGCTACGTGTGCTTTTTCTGAACTACCACAGGCACTAAAAAGTGCCTTTTTCTTTATTACTATAGTTGAAGACACACTTGTATTGTTTCTTGTATTTTAGTGTGATCTCACTGAAAGTAACATAGCATCTAAGCAAGTGCAAGACATTTTACTAAAACCTCATTTTTCTCCTACAAATAAAAGTGGAAGAAGGATTTACAAGGAAGTAGTATGGATAGATGAATTTCACCCAGTAAAGGGACTGAGCAGGGGGAAGGACGGAATGTTAAAGCAGAAATGAAAATACTGAATAAACGATACCTTCAACCTCAAGAACAGAGCTAATCACTAAACAGAGCTTTAGTCTAATGTATAGGATGACAAAACACTTGGAAAAAAGAACAAAAAGCAAGGTGCTTGGTTTATACCTTGTT